CTAACATGCATATACTGGTACAAGTCAAAAATTAATGCTGCTAGGGTTCCAGTTCATGAATGCATACGTTTGTGACAAACCAACTATGCTGAGACGCGCTTCTGCAGTCGGTGGATGACTGAAGATACGTTCTCCCAGCAATAACTTGTTTGAGTCTCTTTAGGATGTCTTCAAGGAAAAGTCCCATCAGCACAGTGGCTTCCAGGGCAGATACGGTATGTCGGCTAAGCCCGAGGCAGAGAGGTCAGCTCAGAGGGTTAAGGCTTACTGTTTTTTGCAGTTCCAAAGGGGTAATCCTGATAGATTTTCTACGGGGACAGGGGCAATCTGTAAGACTTCTCAGGAAGTTGTGAGGAAACTGAAATCTGCATGGATGAAAGCTGCCCCGAGGAGTTGTTGGTTGTTGTTCCACTAGGAGGGCACACTTGCTCATTCTCGGGGTTGCCAGGGCTGTCCTAGGAGGGTTTCTTCAGGAAGCTTCACCCATCCCCTCTAGAGCCCTGGAATTGCCCCCTTAGGCTTCTTTGTGTCCTCAAAACAACAAGGAATGGGAAAAGGATTATAATTTAAGTTCTAATGTGTTGTACATGGAAGCATATAGACTTCTTTGTGGAAAGGTTACAGAGCTGAAAATATCACCTTCAGAAATGCACAGGTTTAGATGGAGGATATGCTGAGACACAAAACTTACATTTTTACACATGTGTTTATCTATCATAGCATAAAGGTTTCTATGATTTTGTAGTAATTCTCTCTGACTTACGTTCAAAGACTATACAACATATTCTAGCGACAGTGAGTCACCAGCTGGAGGAGTAGCGGACACAGAACTTTTGATGGCAACACATTTTGAGTGGGTGGGATTGCAGATGACATTTATTCACTTTTATAAAAAGACGTTACCTATTCTTTTGACAATGAATTTGTATTATCTCTGAAATCAGAAAAAAAATGTATTCATTTGTATTCAAATGTATTCATTCATATTTTTTAAATTAAATTTTTATGTATTTTTAAATATATAAAAATATTTTTAAAACACATTTTGTGGAATTTCTAAGTCAATTCAGTGAGTATTGATTAACTGCCAACTTTAAAAATACTCTGTGTTGACCCTAGTGATAATAATTAATTATAGATATTAAATTTATCACTGCGGTAGTTCTCCTTCCATTTAGTTACATCAATCTGATCACACCATAAGAATAAATAATAAAACCCCTAAATCGTGTAGCCTAATCTTTTATATTCTTCCAATTTTATATTTATAATTACAATTTTTTTCTGTTCTCCTTTTTAAAAACAATTTTATTGGCATCTGATTCACAAATCACATAATTCAATAGTTCATTCACATCAAGAAGCATACAATCATCACCATAATCAGTGTTGGAACATTTTCCTCATTCCTGTACCCATCATTATTAGCTCCTGTTTCCCTGTAACCTCCCCTGTCAAATCCCCAAGGAACCATTAACAGGATCTTCTTTAAGGTCTATTTTCCCAAGTGGTGCTAGAACACCCAGTCTTGTTACGGATTTCCAGTCTCTCGGGCTTGCTATAGTTATCACCAACATCCTTGGAGTGTCCACTGCAATGACTATAAGAACCCAGAGCGGGAACATAGGGAACACTAAGATAATTCAAGTTGGTGTCGGGAGGGGATTCGTTGCGATAGCTTCACACTTGTAGAAGCATGGGGATTATTAAGAGAACTACAAAAGCACAAGAAGTAAAACTACTTCAATCCTAGAATGGCTATTTTGGATGCTGTTACTTGTAATGGATGTAAGGGATGATATGCCGCAGCTGAGCGGAGAAATAGCTGCTTTGGGAGTGAGTGGCCTGGGGGAAAGCCCGGCTGATGAAGATGAACACAAGGCACACGTGTCTTCTGAAACCATCCTGCCAGAGTCCCCAGGGCATTTGTACATAAATAGATGCAGTCCAGGGGTGGAGAATAGATTATTGTATTGGGGTATTATTAAAAAGGTTAAGGGTTATATGTTTATTTGGCTGTACTATTGATACTCACTGGCTCTCCACTTGATATTGTACTATAAGAAATCAGTCATCATTACAAGAGCTTGTAAGTCCACCTTACAAGTTGCATTTGATTGGATTTGCTAAAAGAGGAGTTAAAAATTCATGAGGAGAAGACTTCTTCTTTGAAGCCAAGGTAGAGTTAAGAGGCTTGGAAAGAAAACCTGACCTTTACCAAGAACTGCTGAGAGAACAGGAGTTCTAGGGAAGACCTTGAAGGGAAGGTTGGATTTGAAGGGAAGACCTGCAAGGAAAAGACCATTTCGCTTTTTAAACATTTGAGCAAGCACTTTGCCATGGATGCATCAAAGCAGGAAAGTTGATGGCCAATGGAACAAGTCAGGGTGCGATGTAACAACGATGAAAAATACAACTTTCCTCTAGTTCCTAAATGTTTCCTCCCTGCTCCCACTACCATGACTCGAATTCGACCTTGCAAGTCTGGCTAGACCAGAGGATGTACACTGGTACAGATAGGAACTGAAAATACATGGAATCCAGGGCAGATGAGCCCTACAGGGCCAGTGGTGTGAGTGGCAAAACAGGGAGGGTGGAGGGAGAGTGGGTAGGAAAGAGGGAACCAGTTACAAGGAACTATATGTGACCTCCTCCCTGGGGGACGGACAACCGAAAAGTGGGTGAAGGGAGACGTTGGACAGGGCAAGATATGACAAAATAACAATTTATAAACTATCAAGGGCTAATGAGGGAGGGGGAGTGGGGAGGGAGGGGAAAATGAGGACCTATTGCCGGGGGTTTAAGTGGAGAGAAAATGTTTTGAGAATGATGAGGGCAATGAATGTACAAATGTGCTTTACACAATTGATGTGTGTATGGATTGTGATAAGAGTTGTATGAGCCCCTAATAAAATGATTAAAAAAAGAACAAGCCCCTTCTGACTCACAGTGATCATACATCAGATCTATGGGTCTGAACTGAAATTCCCTATTGGGCTTCCAAACTTTTATACCCTTCCAGGAGTGGACTGCCATACCATTCTCCTGTGGAACGGCGGGTGGGTTTAAACTGCTTACATTTTGGTTGACTCTTAGTGCTTCAACACCTGTACCACCACATCTGCTTGCGTAACCACATCCCTGAGATAGACAGGTATTGAGCATCTACATGGGCAATACATTGATATAGGCACCACTTATGCAGTGAGAAAAAATGGTAACTGATGATGGATATAAAACATAAAGTTATGTCAATGGGGGAAAAAAAGACACAGACAGGTCTCTAGTCATTGAAGGAGTATTGGTAACACCAAAAGACGAGAAATAACAAATCATGCGCCACTCAATAGACTGCTCCATGGCTGGCAAGGAAACACTGGAAATACAGGCTATGTCTGTACTACCCCGGAGAGAGCCTCAGGGTGCATTGCTAGTTGAAGTGAGCTAGGTGGCAAAGCATATATAATATGCCACTGTTTAAAAAGCCGTAAGTGTACGTGTGTGTTTGTTAATAGAAGACTAAATCAAAAACGTTTTAGAAATTGTTTTCCTGTGGGCTGGGGAAGAAAAACAATGGAGGGGCAGGAATGAAAGCTTGGCTTGATGTCTATGAATATTTTTCTTTCCTTTAGAATTTAGCTTTGGATTATGTAAATATGGAATTATAAATAAATGAATAAAAATAATCCCTGAAATTCAAAGACAGAATGAAATAAATGAACCTAACTATATACCATATTTTTTCACACACAT